TAGCTACCCTGGGTCTCTATACCTGGCAAGGTGCCAACTACACCTTTCCATTCAGATGATGCAAATGATGCAGATTGCATTTCTTGCATCACCACCCCTCAAAAATCACCTCCAACACAACCTCAAAAAACCTTCCCTCGACGCACCCTCCTCCCCCAGCATGTGCCGAGCTTACGTGTACCTTTCCCGGGCCACCCCCCCAGACCCCCTAACCACTCACTTCGTTCGCCAAACACAACTCCGCTAGCGCCTTCTACGAAGGCTGGCTTTCGTAATACCCAAACGTCGCCGAAATCAGATCGCGGCGAAGACCACATCGAAATCCGCACATCGAAGTAAAGCCGCTCCAACCTCCCGCACCTGCCACGAAAAGTCGACTTTGGACCACCAAACACGAGGTTGCCACCAAAAATGGCCGCCATGTCCGAACATGTGCACGGCGCCACGAGGAGAGCGCTGTCGAGGAAAGCACCCGCTCGGGCCCACCAGATTCTGACTGCGCAGTCGAAATGCACGTCGAAGACTTCGAGGTGCTTGAATGTACTGAATGTACTGTACATAGCAGCGCGAATTAGCCGCGCTTCGATCAACACCAGCCGTGCTTTAACTCTTACCATAAGCACCCTTAGTGTGATCACTCTGTTTGGGGAATAAACAGGAAAGCTCCGAAAACATGTTTCTCTGAGTCAAAACGGCCCTGGACCCTCCAAAATGACTTTTTATACATTAATATTATAGTAATAATAGAATATATAGTTATTATATATATATATATGTGTGTGTGTGTGTGGGGACCGTAGACTGGTGATGTCAACCTCCTATGTGCAAATTCTCTTGTTTGGTTTTGAGTTTTGACTCACCGTGCTGTGTCTTCCAAGGATCTTTGTGATCTCCCTTTGCCCAGAGTCTGTCGAAGTAAGAGGTCCTCAAAGCTCGTCTCTGTCGTTTGGGGTGAGGACCAAACGCTTGCAGAAACGATCATGAAAAAGGTGCATTTCTTTTGGTGGGCGTATTACTCTCCGCTTGAAGCAGGGAATCGTCTACTCCTTGGAAGGATCTTTCCTAAAGGGCGGGCAAGGATTCGCAAGGACAGCATCTATATATACTGTAGGTATATTTGATTGGATCCAATTGGGCGCAGCCATGCTGGGCCCTGCAGCTGAGCTACGTCTTCTTCGTGTGGCCCACACGCTTTCCAGGTGTTCCTCTGCTCACGGGGATCCCATGCCTCGAATTCCGCACGGTTTGCCCCAGCGGGTCCATCGACACCACCCTTTCCTTCGTCCCATCTCAGGATGGATGTGAAAAACATGCATAAGGTTTACAGCCACTCCCGATCGTTGATGCTTTGTTGCATGTTTCAGCCTTCCTTCGAGGATGCAACTGTTTTCCGTGTCACGCCATCCTTCTGGCAGCCATTCCGCCACGCTGCAGCGTCTCAAAGTCGGCTTTGGCATGGGTGGGCCTCGGATGTACTCCAAGACCGACCGGCTCCGACCAGCGACGAAGCGAAGCGAAGCACCGAACTCGTTTCGTACTCGTTTCGTTGCAGCCCACTGACTCGAAGAGCGAGCCATCGACGAGTGTTGCAATGGTGTTCGCCAAACGCTTGATGTACCTACCAAGTTGGACCCAAAGAGTTAGAGTTCTTTGTTATGATTGATGATTTGCATGTAATTCCCACCACAATGTCCCACTAGCAAAGATGAAGCGAAACAATTGAAACGATCTTGTTCTTTATATATAGGCTAGGGCAGTTTTTTCTCGGCTCCATTCGCCTGAAAAGCTGGCAGAGTGTCTTCGACATCTGCTCGGCTTTTGTTTCAGGTCTCGTTGATCCATTCTGAAGTCACACATGGAAACATGTGCCACATCACAGCAAACATTTCACATTACACTATGGACTATGGACATGCATCGAAAAATGTTGCAAACATTATCTGATCTATTTCTGGCTCGCTCACGAACTCTGAAGTCACTGCCGTGCTCCACTGCTTCAGCCCATCCTGATTTGTCTTACGTGCCCGTGGAAGCTCCAATTGACTGAGATGTTGTGGAGGTGCTGGCGCTCGTCGCTTCTGACGTTGTGGCCTGGGAGACCGAAAGCTTGGACGTCGATCTCTTTTGCGTGTCCCTCTTTCGGGCCGATCGCGTGCTATCCTTCACCGTGGACAGCATATCCTGGGGTGAGGCCAGCACGGAAGAATAACTAATTATCACAGGATAACCATTACACTTACACAAACAGGAAAGAATAACTAATTATCACAGGATAACCATTACACTTACACAAACAGGAAGGCGCGCAATATACAATATCGGAAAATAGGTGGAAAAAAACAACATGAAAAAACTTCGAACAGCTGTGCCCAGTGTCTCTTTCGAGTTGGTCAAAGGGATCTTCATCATGCTCCAGTTTCTCCTCAGGCCAGGGCATGCTTTGCGAGGACGAGCCTGCATAGCGCTTGATGGATTCCCTGGCCGTTGGATGCTTCACCGCCGGCTCAGAGACTTGAAGCCCCCCGGCGATGCCCACGTCTCCCGCGTTGAATTCCAAAGGCACCTCCAGCTGCAAAGACTCCCTGAAATTGGTCCAACTCTTCAACGAGACGGTCTCCAGCAACAAAACGACGCACTCACAACGCTTCAAGCGCGCGAAGCCCAGCATCTCTTCGTAGCGGATCTCATAGGCTTGGTCGAATTGTGCCACGAGGAGGCTCAGGAAAAAGATGAGGAGTGCCGTGGCAAAGGCCGCCAAAGCCAGGAACAGGATCAAATCGTCTCCAAGTGACTCCAACTGAGCTTTGGATGCCATGCCCAATGACAACTCCCAAAGAGATAGCGCTGCTCTGGCAATGTTGGAAAATGCCCAGCTTTCGTGCTCCAACGCGCTCAATGAGCTTGCAAATGTTAGAATCAAGAATGCCAGGGCAATCATGAAAAGGCAGAACTCGCCGAAAAGCTGACCACACAGCAAACAAAAGGCTAAAGCACGCATAGATAGGA